AGTAAACAACCCAAACTTAGTTTTTAATAAAAATAACATTTGCTTGGGGCTAGGGATTTTAGCTCAGCGGCTTAAGAACCTGCCTGGCAAGTGCAAGGTCATGAGTTCGATCCCTGGTACCAAAAAAATTAAAATTAAAAACAAAACAATAACATTTGCCAATGACTGTGGTAGTTTTCAGGCATTCATCAAAACATCATCAAACAAGGCTTCCCACCTTTTGCCCCTCCCCCCAAAAAACCAAGAAAGCACCAAAAAACTGCCCCACATCAAATTCTCAGTTGTCCCTCAATCTTCTCAGAGCAGTGTCAGATTTACTCCCTTATCTTTAAATATGTGCACAGATCAAAGGTCTCCATAGCTTAAGAACAGCATGTGATGTTTCTGAACATGTAGATAATCTCCTCTCTAGACACAGTGTTCTCAATAATGAAGTATGAAGCACACTGGTAAAGTCTGCTGCATAAAATACCACCTGGAATGGTAATAACCACTGGCCTCGCCCTTCTCTCAAACTTCTATACTATACAACTGGCCTCTTAAAAATTATATGTGACCAAGTTAAAATAGCTGTTTGCACATTTTAATCTATTTCAAAACATCTTAGGATGATAAAAATTCAGGACTACAGAATTAGTGATCTTAAAAAAATACAGTGGCAAGACTCAAAAAACCTCTAAACCCTAGTCCCACTTCTGACATCAATTTAGGCTGCACTCCAGAGTACAAACTTAGTGTATGATATACTTAATCAACATCAGTGAAAAACCTTTTTATAAGGCAAAATCTGGGGCATGTTGGTTCTTTAAATAGTTACTATCACTTAAACCATATTGCTTTAACTCCTCAAAAACAAAAGGTTTGAACATTCTAGTCTCATAAATTATACCCATTTGAATGGGTATTCATTGAAACCCAGCATATCAAACTACTCCTTAAAATAACAATTAGCTTCAATTACTATAAAATGAAAAACACTAGAAAGTATCTTACAGTGGCACAACAAACGATGAAAGGCACAGAGCAGAAGCCTCAAGTGCCATCATACTGTATCAAAATAACAAGATGTAAAGTGGTTCTTTACAATTATGTAAGAATAATGGGAAATCTCGATACTGTTCTAATAAATGTGTAAGTCCTAGCACCGGAAATTGAAGACCAGGTCCTGGGTGGGGAACCAGAACCTCAAGGTGAAGCCTAGTTATCAGGGCTGAAGAGACCCAATTTTAAATTTTGCGTTTCTTCTTTGAATAGTTCTAGCTTAAGACTGTTTTTCTTATGTTTTCAAAGAAGAGAGAAAAACATCTCTAATAGCATACAATTGTTCTATCTCACAAACATCACAGAGTTCACTAGAACCTTTTGTACTTGTGAGGTGTGTTACGGGATCCAGTGAACTTGTTTTTCCTGAATTTCAAACATTTGCATTATTTTATCTGTGTAGGAATGATTATCACTTACTACTGCAAACTATGCTTTTAAAAAACAGAAACAAAAATAACAGCATTGCCTAGAACGATGATGCAACAGTAAAATAAATCATCGTATTATACATCAGTTTGTATTATGCGAACGAAGTATTCTTTCAAGAAGGTATGTCTGAAAATTATCACTTTTTTTCTTTAAGCCCTCACTGAACACTATAGAAAATCTGGAATTTTGCCTTTTTTACACATAGTGGCAGAGAGGAAAAGCTCAAGGATAAAAATTTTTAAATAGTAGGTACATAAATTGATCATGTAAGTAAAATCTCAGATCATGAGTTTCAGATAAGGATTTCCCAATTGAAATTCCTCAAAACTAAAAATCAAAAGAAACATGTTTTTTTCAGTTAGTCATTCAAAAGGAAGAACTTCAACATACAATATTCTGAGAAAAGCCCCTGGACCAACCTGTTTTACTAAAAAGATACTACCATCTTCTTAATGTTTTGTATCTGTACCAAAATTGAGTTGGTATCGTTTGTCAGAGGTTAAATGAAGACAGGTGTATAAACAAAGGTGACTGGAAAGAAATACTGAATTTTTTTTAATAATTTCTGTGCACTGATAGAAATTCTTCAGAAGTGCACAACAAAAATGATCATATTCTACAAAATTGTAAGCCGTTAACGTCTTCAAAAGCACTGTATTTTGATAATGGAAGCACAAAAACTACCAGACAGTAATTCAAAACCTATATGATACATATTTGAAATCTGGAATCAGCATGGTTTTGACAACCTAAGTGCAAGAACTAAAAGCAATGATAGGGTGGAGCAAATTAGAGATACTTGAAATCTGACAGAACCCTTATAAGATAGGTTCATGTATTAGGTTTACTAGTTGAGACAAACATGTTGCCCATTTAACATACATATATAATATATATATTATATATTCTCAAAACCAGAAAATTGATTTGTGTTGAAATTGCTCTTAAAATTTCCAGTAGTTGTTTTCACTCTTTTTGTTTCCATTTTTGCAAATTATTCATAAAATGATCTAAAAATGTAAACAATAAAGAGCTCCTTGGACTCACATGATAAAGCAGTGACCATGTTTTCAAACAGACTGAGGGCTAATAAGCATTCCAGGGCATTCACACTTTCCAGAGTCCTAGCACTCGTCTTCTTCCAACGCGGCGTTTCTCAAACTTGTCTATCCTCAGATTAGAATAACCTGGGCACCAGTTAAAAACAGATTTCACGGAATGATTTAGGAACTCTTCCTTGAAACAAACTTCTAGAGATCCTGATGATTAGCCACGAGAAACACAGCCATATAGTACAGAGTCTACTCCAAGTAGAACAATTTCTTCTTACATGTGGGATTCCACCTCCGACCCACTGGATTATCAAAAATCAAACGTGTTGTAGAGCAACACTCTGACTGCAAAACTTGGAGATACAATCACACATTACTCATCAGAGTTCATGGAAAGTGAGTTTGCAGTATTTACCAAAATTAAAAATTGAGATACCTCTTCAGCTCTTTAGACTCTACGTGTATTTGCAGAGAGAAAACAATCCGTGGGAAGTGTATTCACTGCAGCCCGCATAACAGTAATAGCAAAAGACTTTTAACACTCCCGGGTAGGTCACTAAAACACTTAAAAACAGTTGGCTATCAGAGGGAATACAGCTGGCTGGAGGACACAACCAAAGATTCTGTGGAGCTGTAAGGATTTCCACTGTATGCTATTGTTAAGAGGATAAATTTTGAGCCATGTGACTGATTATCCCCGCTCAAACACTAAATTTCCAGTAAGTATGGGCAACACTTGGGCAGTTAGTAAAAGCCAGTATCACTACTAATGGATATAGAAAATACTTTAAAGTTGTTTAGGGAGTCTCTTGTTAAAAGCTCTTGGCATTTATCTTTAAAAAGTACCCAAGTCTGACAACAACAATAAAAAAAAAAGTAGAGTCAGGGTCATTTCTGAAAGTTTTGGCCCACAGAGGCAGAACCAAGGAGCTCCTATCTCCCCCACCCCTAGGAATTTACCTGTGACTCCATCTTCCCCGCCCCTAGGAATTTACCTATGGTGCCAAACAAAGACCAATGGGCTACCCGTGCATCCCTAATGTCCCCTTAGGTTCCACCCCAAACCGAGGCTACTTATATACCCCCCCACGCCATGTGTCGGCCAGAGAAAGCCGGACTCCAGCGGGGATGGTTCTCTCTTTCCGCATTCTCAGAATAAAGAGAACTTCTCATCTTTTGGATATAATCTTATCAATTTCAAGCACCTGTTCAATTCAAAATACATTTTCAATCATTAGTAATCTTTTCTGTATTTGAGTTTATAAAATTTCTTGTAGTCCTCAAAATATAAAACTTCGTTTCCAAAAATCAAATGTGGATTATAGAGCACTGACTGTATACTGATGCTTTTAAACGATTAGCCCTTTTTATTGTGCCACAAACCGATTTATAACAAATAGTATTTATGTATCATTTAAGGCACAAAAGTTTTACAAATCGGGCAGCAGACAAGACGGAAAGCCATATTTTGTTACTGTTTTGTCTTCAACCTCAAACAGGAAAGTGAAAAGAATAAACGAATTACTCTCCCCTCCCCCTCCCCCAGGTTTTTTGAGACAGGTCGCTAAGTTGCTAGCTTTAAGACTGGCCTTGAGGTCACCATGCAGCACAAGGCGGCCTTCAACTCCCAAACCACTGGTGCGATTTCGGGCGTACAATACCATATTTACTTTTCAAAAGACAACTGACATGGACTGCTGCTATTTTCAATGTAATTGTTTTTAAATCAACGGTTTTCTCTCCAAAACAAACGGATGTTAACACTGGGTAAGCCTTGTATATCTTCAAATAAAGAATTTAGTGGAGGAGGAATAAACAGACATGTACATACAGATTAGATAACCCTAGAAACTCGTTGGAAAAACACATCATGATTGAACAGTACCACTTGGGTGAGACTTAAAACTTTCCGTATCTCTCTGCCCTCACTTTCCCAGGGTTACGAGGATATCCAGAAACGAAAGCTCTGAGTCACCAGCTCTCAAGGGGCATTTCCTTCGGAACACACCCGGCTTGGAAACGTTTCCCCTTGGCTCCAACTTCTCCGTAAATAAGCGCAGCGAACCAGCTCCCCACCCTCTCCAGAGAGCCCGGGCTGCGCCCGCTAAGCAAACATCTCCCTCCTCCGTCCCGACCCGACCCGACCCGACCCGGCCGCGGAAAGAGGACCGGGACGGCACGGACGCCGGCGTCTCCCCCCCGGGCTGCCCGCCGCGCCCCGCCCTCAATTCCGGGCAGGACCCAGACCCGCGGGGGCGCAGGCGGCGGAGGACGCCGCTCCCAAAACTTCTCCAGGGCGGCGGGGCGCTGAGAGGAGCGCGGAGCCCCGCCGAGGGGGCGTTACCGCCCCCGAAACCGCTTTGCACAAGGGGACGCTCGATTTCCGTTAGCGCCGGGCCCCGGCTCCTCACGCCTGGAGCCCGAGCCCCGCGCCGGGACGCGGAAAGGCGGCCCTCGCCCCTCACAGAGGCTCACCTACACCTCCGCGTCCTCTCGCCGCCACCGCCTCCGGGCTCGAGCACCGACTTCCGAGACCCAAGGGAACCGAAGCGGCGCGCACCGCACGCCGGCCGCCAGGTGCGTCACCGCGCCGCCCCTCCCGCCTTCCGCCCGCGCAGGCGCGAGAGCGGGGTCAGCTGACCCAGTCCCCATGGCAACGGGAGGCGGGGCCGGGGCCGGCGGGCGGTGGGCGCGCTGGAGCGTTGCTCGGCCGACTCCCAGCTACCCCCTCTGCGGGGTGGGCGAGCCGTGGCTGCCGCACGTTTAAAGCCACTGCCTTCTCTGCCTTCGGGAAGCGTGTGCCCGGGGACCCCCGTGTCAGGGCACATTGTTGTATTTCCGCTTTTGGTGGCTGAGTTCCTGTCGCTCTTGACGCGGAGAGGTCAGGAGCATCCCCTCCTGGGAGACTCCCTCCCTGGAATTCACTGTTGCCTTTACTTTTTTCCACAGAGAGCCCAAGAACAGCAGCCGCCTTCTCAGCCCCTACCCATTTTCCGTTACAATGGGTTCTTTGTCTTTTACTACTCTTAGTTCGCCTGAGCTAATGTCTTGGCTGTAGTGAGAGAGTATGGGCATTAAAGATAAGAGCCATACTCAAGCACAAAACATTTCTTGAGGGTTAGATGCCAGACACTGTTGTAAGACCTTTATGTGCACAGTCTTAACGGGTCGTCACATCAACCCATGAGGATAGATACAACATCCCATTACAAAGACACTGAATGTTACCTGAAACTATTCATAGTTAACATGGAATACCACGGAGTCCATGACAAAATGGCATTAACGTATAAGGTAAATTATACCTAGCGAAATTAACTAGTGCCACAGTCTTAGTAAAACTAGTAAAAATCTGAGCATAAAAGTCATGATACGATGAAACTGCCCTCAGAGATTTTATAGCTTATGTGACATAATAGGCATTGAAAAACAGTTACGGACTAGACTACGGAAAAGGAAAAAATAAAACTTTTTGCAGTCATATGATTGTGTATATAGGAAATACCCAAGCACTGACCAAAAAAATGAAACTAATAAGGAATTATAGTAACGTTGTAGGATATAAGGCTGATGTATAAAAGTCAGATGTTTTCCTATGTAAATAAATGAAAAATTGGAATTTGAAATTAATACTGTTTATATTTGCACCAAAATACAATGAAATACTTAGCTACAAATCTAATAAAATGTGTATCCAGTGTGAGGAAAGCTATAAAGTTCTGGGGAAAAAATCTGAGATCTACACGATTGAAAATTATTCCATGTTCATGGATAAGAAGATGCAATATTAAATTGTCAGTTATTCCCAGGTTGATCTATAGATTTAACACACACTCAGTCAAAATGCCAGTAAGTTATCTGTGGATATTAACAAACTATTCTAAAGTTTCATAAAAAAGCAAAAGACCCAAGAGCCAAGCCATGATTGGACTACAGAGAAAGTATGACAGTAATGGTTTTGGTCTCACTACTGTAATAAGTTACGAAGGACCAGGTGGCTTAAATAACAGGGTTTTAACTCACAGTTGGAGAAGCTAGGAATTTCAAGATCTTACCTGAAGATCTGGGATTTGTTGAGGGCGCCCTGCCTAATGGTCATTGTGATTTGTAGTGGTCATTTGTAATGGTCATTTGGTCATTAATTCCTCATATGGCAGATGGGGGGGGGGAGTAGTGAAGGGAACAGAGAGAATGCTTTTTACCATCTATTCTCCTCCCATTCTACCCTGAGACAGGGTCTTGCACTGTGATTTAGGCTGTTTTTAAACTATATAGCCTAGGCTGACCTCCAACTCTCAGTGATTGTCCTGCCTCAGCTTCCCAAGTGCTGGATTACAGATGTGGTCCAGCAACCCTGGGTTGCCTGGCTCTTCTTTCGAGGGTTTTAATCCCATTATGATGGTTCCACACTCAGGACAAAATTATCTCCCAGAGAGTCCATTTCCAAATGCCATCATACTGTGTAATAGGCTTCAACACTTGGAAAAGAGACACGAACATCTTCAAAACTTAGTATAAAACTATGGTAATCCAGCCAGGAATGGTGGCAAGTGTCTGCAATCTCAGCATTGTGGGAGTCTGAGGCCAGGGATCACAAATCCAAACCCAGCCCCAATAACATAGCAATTTAGCAAGACCTTAGCTAAACAAACAAACAAAACAACAGCAACAACAACAAAATGGAGATACTGCTCAATGTGAAGGTCTTCAGTTCAATCCAGACAAAACAAAAACAAAACAAAACAAAACAAAAACCTATAGTAATCAAGAAAGACTGGGCAAAAAATAATACACAAATACTGTATATCAATGGGAAACAAAATAAAACCCATAAATAGACACAGAAGTATACTCAAAATGTCTTTGATAAAAGAAAAAGGGGATTGGAAGGGAAGAAAGCCTATTCTGGGAATGTAGGTCTGTGGTAGAGTATGTGCTTAGCATACGTGAATTCCTGAGTTCAGCTCACAGTACCAGGAAAGTAAAGCCTTCTTTCGAAGTGTCCTAGAACATCAGGACTTTTGCATGTAAAAGATGAATCTATGTGTAGACCTTGTATCTTCTATAAAATTTGCCTTGAAATGGATCATAGGTCTAAATTTAAATAAAAAATTTAGAAGATAATAGAGAAAAATCCAGATGACCTTGGGTTTAGCCAAAAGTTTTTAGATGCAACACCAAAAGCAACCCATGGAAGAAAAAAGTGATAAGTTGGAGTTTGTTAGAATGAAAAATGTTTGCTCTGTGAAAGACAAGGTCAGGAGAAGCTACAGACTGAGAGAAAATATTTGAAAAAGAATCTAGTAAGCAATCTTATTCAAAATATCCACATAACAACTCCCAACGATTAGAAACAAGACTATTAAAAACTGGGCAACAGATGTAAACAGACATCTCACCAAAGAAAAGATAAATGACAAGTACATATGTGAAAAGAAGTTCAAAAGCATGTAACATTAGGGAATTGCAAATTAAACCAATTTTCAAATAAATTAAACACTACACACTTACTACAATAGCTAAACCCAAACGATGACAATACCAGATGTCAACCAGGATGTGGGGAAACAAGGGCTTTCATTTGTTGCTGATAGGAATGCAGAACAGTACAGCCACGTAGGAAGACAATCTGGAACTTTCTTACAAAGATAAACACAATCCTGCCATCTGAATTATTAATCATGTTCAAATGTGTTGATTATGTCCAAACAAAATCTCAATATGAGCACTAGCATGGTTTATTCATAATTATCAAAAATAGGAAATAACCAAGATGCCCTTCCGTAGGTGAATGTAGAACAAACTGTGGTATGTTGGGAGCTGTTGAAAATGGAAAGTGAACACATGTGCAGGGCTGCTGCACAGCAGGGGCGAGCTAAGATGAAGGCTGAGGATGCCAGGCTCCAGCTCCAGTTAACTAAATAAAGACTGTAGCCATAGGCATTTCACCCCTCCAGTGAAATGCAACATGGAGCTCTTCTCCTCAGATACTTCTCCTTGTTAACGTAATTTGTTACTTGCAAAGTCCCTGAACCAGTTTAAAGGTCTGCTCAGTTTCTTGTGTTGTTTGAAAAAAATAATAAATACAGGCTGCCCAGAGGTATTCCCTGTGTTAGCCACCAGAGTCCCCGAACTCTACAGGGGTCTTTGATCCTCCTGGAGACCTAAAATCATACCACTTATTTATGTAAGCCTTTGCTGCACATTCATTTGGGAGATTGGGGTTCTAGGCCAGGTCCCCAATAGTGGTACATCCAAATGTTACCATATGTACCAAGTTGGTGGTCTCACAACGTCAAGGAATGAAGCAACAAACCAAAGGAGGACGTTAGGAGAGTTTTATGGGAAATAATTTAAGAAGGATAATTCTTGGATTTCCAGAAGGGGTCCCAAGTGGGTGACTGCCCAGGATCTTTGTTAAAGATGTTTTATACTCTAAAAGGCATTTTATACACTAAAATCACAAGTTGACTAACTACGGGTCAAACTATTATCAATCCATAGGATTACAAGGATGGTGCTTAGCTAACATTGGTCCCACATGGCACGGGTAGATGGTGAGCCTCGGCTAATTCAGCTCGTCTATAACTCTGAATGTAGGAAGAACTAAGGCACTCCTGAATGGGAGGATGAGTCAGGGTGTTTTGGTCACCCACCCATGTTCTGGTACACTAACACAGGCTCACAAATGGGGCTAGTTACAGGATGATCTCAAGCTGTTGTTTATCTCTAAGGAAGCTTGCACGGTAGGCCTTCTTCAAATCTGTCCACAGCCACAGTTTTCACAGGTCTCATCTTTTGCAGTAAATTCTTCAAGAGCCTGATCCCTCTCTGACCGCCTGTTTGCTGTCTAACTTAGGTGGGATATTACTCACCCATTTAAAAAATGAGCTGTGAAGCTACAAAAGACATGAGGGACTCTGAAAGCAGCTTGCTAAGTGACAGATGACAGTCTAAAATAGCTACAAATTGTGGGATTCCAACAATAAGAAATTCTGGGAAAGGCAAAAATTATAGAGGGGGAAACAAAACAGGAGAGGCATCTGCAGGTGAAGCACAGAGGATTTTGAGCTATAAAGACAGGCACATGGGCATCATGCATTTGTCAAAATCATAGAATAGTAAAGATATTTGATGTTTGTTGTATATTTGGTGTTTGTCTCAAACAGAAATGCTGAAGTTTCAAAAATGTTTGGTGTTTCGAAAACTGTTGAGAGTTTCGAGTGAAAGATTGGTCAAGAAGTTTCGAGATAAAAGCTGGTTCACAGTAACACCAAGCATGTGATTGGGGCCGGAACTTTGGTCCTAGGCCCAGTCTCCAGAAAAAGGAACACCAAAGTCTGAGTTTATGCACTTGACCAGTGATTTCATCAACCATGACCATGTACCCATATGAAACCCCGAATAAAAAATCCTAAATGCCAAGACTCAAGGGGCTAGGTTCGTTCTTTAATTCCACAGGGGCAAAGGTTCTTGCACCTTCAACTCTTCTATACATGTCTTCATCTCCTCCTTTGTATCCTTTACTGAGTAGAGTGCTTCCAGTGAGTTCTGAGTCATCCCAGCTCATTGTTGAACCTGAAAAGGGGCTGTGAGAGCCCTCCCATTTGCAGCCAGGTTGGACAGCACGGGACTCCTACCTGCAGCTGCAGGGAAGGACAGTGTCTCGTGGGCCGCGGTGGCTGATCTGCATTGCAATCTGAATGGAGATTTGCAAAGCGCATTGCTGTCTTTGAGGCTATGTCCAGGGATGACTGGCATGTGGGCCAGAGAGCTGGGGTGGCACCACCCAGTAGTTTGCAGCCGGATGGGATGAGATGGAGGAGGAAGTCAGTCTGCTCTTAAAAGCTCGGTTCTGCTTGAGTGGATTTGTCTCTTGCTGGCTGCCTTCACCTGTGGACACCAAAGTCAAGTTTCTTCGGCCTTTCAAAGCAGATCGAGCTGCTTCTGGACCCTTTGGCTCTTAAATCTGAAGAAGGTATTGTGGGTTATTCTGCATTTTGTCCTGTAGGCCAACCTAATAAATGCCCTTTTTGATATATATAGTCTATTAATAGAATGTTTATTCTATTGAGTATATATATACATATGTATATATGCATATATATATATATTCTATTGGTTTCCTGGAAAAAATGTACATATTCATATTCTACTGGTTCTGTTCCTCCAGAGAGTACTAACATGTACAAAGATCTTGTCCTTTATCTTATGAGCTATAGGTAGTTTGTGTCATAATTAATCTGATTTCTAGGACACTTGGTCTTTGGTAGAATGGAACACACAGTACAACACAAACAGTGGGCTTTGAAGTACAGTCTTTAGTTACTAATATTATATCAATATTTGTTTATCAATTATAACCAACATACCACATATGTATGTTTAGAATGAACTATGTGCAGTGGAAGGCATATATAGGAACTCTAGTTTTAGACCATTTTTATATGAACCTAAAACTAGTACTGTTCTAAAAAATAATGGCAATATAAGAATTAAAAATAATCACACAAAGTTGAGATGGATGTTTGAGGAAAAAGCTCAGGAGACTGAAAAAAATTTTGCAAAGGATCGAAAGAAGTCTAGGAATTTAAAGAATGCTTCCTAAAAGACATGGCTTTTTAATCTGCCCAGATTATTATTTATTAATCAAATAATAAAAGGAAAAATATTCTAGGCAAAGAGGATGGTAAATGCAGAAGCACTAGAGTTGAGCTGAATGGTAACGCACTTCAGGAGCTGAGACATCATTACAGCTGGGACCCCAGCAAGGGAAGGAATGCTCAGATGAAGCTGGAGAAGTGGGAGGAGTGTACTGAGACCACTGAAAGAGGTCACATGATTAGATTTACTTTTAAAATGCTTGCTATGTCTACGGCTTGCAGAATAAGTTGAACGTGAAGACAGAAGATAAGTGTGTTCTGTGGTTTGGATCTGCTCTCCCTAGATTCATGTGATTGTGCTGGTACTAAGAAGTGGTAGAGCCTTTAAGAGCTTTGGAGAGAGAGAGACAGACAGACATGGGGACAGAGGGTCAGAGAGACAGAGAAGTCAGTAAGAGAGAGACAGAGAGAGGCAAGCAGAGAGACACAGAAACAGAGACAGAGACAGAGACAGAGACAGGGAACCTCTCGCTCCATTACCACTCTACCCAGGCTGTATTTGAGCTCCAACCTCACACCTCAGTCTTCTCCTCTGAGTAATGGACTACAGGTGCAGGCCACTCACCCAGTTCCTTTCCATTTCTGTCCCCTGCTGTCACCTAGTCAAGGGAGGTCCCACCAGAGTGTGCATACATGGGGCTTCCTCCGAGCTGAATAGAGCTCTTTATCATGTACGCAGCCTCAAGTGTTTTGTTAAGCAACAGGAAATATGGGGAGATTTATTAAACGTATGCAGTGATCCTGATGTGTCCATTAGAGGAGATGGACAAGTCAGAAACTTAATATGAAGATAAAAACTCAGGAATTCTTGTTGGTTGGTCTGATATAGATTAATTACCAGAACATATCTGAGATAAGTATCAGACTTCTTTGTCAATCTTTCTTTCTTTCTTTTTTTTTTTTTTTTTTTTTTTTTTTGTCTTTTTCCTTTTTATCGGTACCGGGGATCGAACTCACAACTGCCTGCTTGCAAGGCAGGAGCTTATGCCGCTGAGCTAAATCCCCAGCCCCAGTATCAGACTTCTGACATGAGCAAAGAAATGAATATTGGCACATTGCTGGAGTGTGGTACACTGAGATGTAAAATACAGCAGGTGAGAAGATTAGAAAACTACTTTCAGATTTATTAAATTTGAAGTGACGTGTGAGTTACCAATTATTATAGGCTGAGTAATGACCCCTCAAAGATACCCACATTCTAATGCCGACGCTGTAAATATATGTATGCATGCATCCTCGTCTGTGTGTGTGTTTGCATAGAGAGAGCGGTGGGGAGAAGAGCTCATCACGTGACCATAGACTTGGGCAGGCGTCCCATCCTTGCCATTTCCTGAAGCAGCTCTAGAAGTTCTCTTTCATGAACATTTTAGTTGTGCTGTTATAGCTCCCTCAATGGCTTTAATCCATTCAAACAATTACCTTCTGTGGTCTTTTCGATTTGGGGGAAGAGCAAGAATTTTAGGGGCGCTCCATCTGGTAAACAATGTTTTAGAAGCCTGCATTTCCAGCAGGTGGCGCTTGGGAGCAGTCACTGTATTTTTTTTATCAGTTTGTAAATATATTCATGAAAGAACTTTTTTAGAACTGCTTCATAAAATGGCAGGAAGGGAAGGGTATGTGTGTTCAAAGCAAGGGAGAGTTCTTTGAGGGAGATTAATGGCAAACGCTTTACTGTAATAATTTTAAAAATTTAAACATTCATTACATTTTTGATCACACATTTTATGTTTAACACTGTGAGGGGTTCCTTATTGTAGTGGAAAGTGGGAAGATTTATTATGAGGACTTAGAAAACAAAGCAGTTTTACAAAGGAAGGCAAATTGACCGAGAAAATAAATGCAATATCTCTCTACATGACTTTCTTTTCCTTTGGAGACAGGACCTCGCTGTGCAGTTCACACTGGCCTTGAAGTCACTATTCAGCCCAGGCTGGCCTCAGACTTCCAGTGACCCTCTTGCCTCAGCTCCCGAGTGCTGGCATTACGGGTGTGTGCCACCACACCCAGACTACATTTTGAATATTGTTTATTTAAGCATTTAACGTATTATTAGTGTAGCCCCAAGTCATAATCATAAGTTAGGTTCAGATACTCATTTGCTTGCCAGAATGTATTTTTCTTCAGGACTTTCAGTAGTCTGTCATAAATATGTCTATTCTGACAATTAACATGTTTGTGTAAGATTAGCCAAAGATATTACTGCCTATGAAAATTGCTTTCCCATTCCATGCTCTACCTAAAATACAGCGCTCCTTATTCCAAACAATCCCTCTAGGTCTCATTTGGTTTGTGATGGTGCTTATAAATAGAACACTACATATAGGAATAACTGCTACATTTTTTTATCCCATTTCAGAACTAGGAATTGCATTTTTTTTGTTTCCTGACATAATAATGTACTCGTACTATCAAAATTAGTATTGTTGCTCTTTGTAAAGATTTTATTTCATCATAAAGCTCTTTTTTAAGTATCTGTCATTTGCTGGTCACTTGCTCTGTTGAATTATGTAACTTCCTCTTCTTTTTCAAAATCTCAGCCACATGACAAACTAGACTGCCTGTCTTATAATATTAGCCTTTGTTCCAGAACATATTTCCCCTTGAGAGTTTCTGTAATATCAGCAAGACTACAGTCAATGTTTTGTTAAACAGTGAAATCATTTTGAAATAGTCTTCAGCTGACTATCTTGGAACAAATTTGTGTAGATTTTAGAAAATTTCACTTGAAAGAGAATGTGCTACCCTACACAGATCTGCAAATCTTATCTGTCTGTTCAATACTTTATAAATGCACAAGGGTGCTTCCCACTTAAAAACAATATGGAAATAAGTCATTGTATGAAGCCTAGGTACTTGTAAAAGGCAAATATTATTCTTCAGTTAATATGAATTGTTAGATTTGTATTCAGTACAAAATATTCCTATGTCAGTTATAATAGTCTCTATTTTAAAATTAAACATTTTCCCAGTAGAGATGTTGTCAGATAAATTTCATATTTTATTTGTCTGACAGTAGAGAATGAACTCAGGATACCCTGCCACTGAGGTATATCCCTAGGCCTTTCAGTTTTTTTGTTATCTCTGTAGAATGTCCTTCAGGATATTTTTGGAGTGCAGGTGTGGTGATTATGAATTTCTTCAGGTGTTCTTTTTCATGGGAGTATCTTATTTCTTCATCCATTTTGAAAGCTAATTCTGCAAGACACATCAATCTGGTTTGGAGGTTGTATTCTTTTAGGGCTTTAAATACTTCACTCCAGGCTCTTCTTGACTTGAGGTTGTGTTAAGAAGTCTACTGTGATTCTGAAAGGATTTCCTTTATAGGTGATTCGTTTCTTTTCTCTAATAGCTTTTAATATTCTGTTCTTTTATTGAATTTCTGGAATCTTGACTATTATATATTATAGTATATAATATAGTATTATATATTGACTATTATTTTACATATATGTATATATAAAATGGGTATTTTGAGTTACTTATCTGTAAGTCAAATTCTTTCTCCTTGCTTGGGAAGTTTTCTGCTATGATTTCTGTGAACATTTTTCAAATACCGTTTGTTCTACGTCCTGCTTTTTCATTGAATCTGATAAATTTCACATTATTTTTCTTTGCGTCACCTAGAAGCTGCTGGAGTAACTTCTTGGGACCCTTTATATTTGTAAGAAATCCTTTTCATGCTTGCTCACTACAACCCTGACTTCTATGTCTGATCCTCATCTTGGCTCATTCTTCTGTGTACACTTTCGGTGGATTTTTAACATCCTTGATATCTGTTTGATTTGTTTCATGGGTTCAGTTTTTTCTATGTTGGACATTCATGAGTTCCATAATTTTCCTAAGCTCCTCTGTTTTTTTAAAATTTCTATCTATTGTAGAGATGTTGAGCATGCCTCTGTAGTGTCTCTGTAGTTATCTGAGAAATCATTTCTAAGTTGATTTTTTTTTGTCTTTTTCATTTTTATTGGTACCAGGGATCGAACTCACGACCTCCTGCTTGCAAAGCAGGTGCTTATGCCGCTGAGATAAATCCCCAGCCCCCCTAAGTTGACTTTTTTATAGAGCTTCATTTACCTGCTTTGTTATTTCCACTGTTACCACTTCAGTCCCGGTGACTGACATTCAGGTGGTTCCTCCTCATTGTCCCCTGGCTTACCTTTGGTGCGTTAGAAGTCTGGACTTGCAGCTTGGTCAGGTGCCTTGTCATTTTCTAATTTTTTAAGGTTTAATTCCTGTGTCAATTCTTGTAAATTGCGTATAGTGAGTAGCTTTTCTGCTAGTCTTTAGAACCTTCGAAAATAACTACTTCTCAGAG